GGCCTTAGGTGCTTCCCAATGGCTTCCTGGGCCTCTGCACGGAAGACCCTCCCCACTCTGCCAGCCTGGAGAACTTAAGCTCACTGGCAAGACCTGGTAAAATGTCGCCCGGGGGAGCATTCTCTGACCTCACTTCTCAGTCCTCACCAGCCCCAAACACTGAACTACCGTAATATGAACTACCGTAAAGTGTCCAGGCTGCACATTTCGCCTGACCCAGCTCTCTGTGACCTTGGTCTCAGCTTCCTCCACTGCACAATGGGGATAACGTACCAGCCTGGAAGTGCGGACCCATCTGGTGGAGGGGGTCGAGGCCGCTGGTAGGGAGGAGCCCGTTGTGGCTCAGGACAGTTTGGTGGGTCTATTTCTGACACTTATCTCCATTAGCCACCTGTCACCCTCACCTCTAGTGACCATGCCCTAGGCTGCCCTCCACCCCCTGTTCAAAAAGCCGGACGCACCCCAGCTCCACACCTTCGGAGCAAAGGGCAGCTTGGTGAGGAGGGCGCTGAGGTTCACACTAACACCTCAGATTAGAGACCGCGTGGTCATTTGGCAGATTTGCAATAGGAAGCAGTGGCACATTGGGGGAGGGGACGGTTAGCAATGGCAGTCCTGGAAGAGTCTCCACCCAAGGTCAAGACGCCCGCCCGACGGGCAGGGAATCGCAAGGACATCTCTCCTCAGCCCCGCCCCTCGAGGGGGCCGGAAGCCTCTTTCTCGCCTGAGTCAGGGTACGTTCCCTTTAAGGCGTTCGGGAAAGTCACCGCGTTGGTAAACGGCCAACGAGGCGCTGCGCTTTTTGTCCCTCGCGCGCCACCGTGGGCTGGGCCGGGCGCGAGGGCGGGGCAGGGGAGCGGTGGTGGGGTCAAAGGCTACAGCGCGCACCACGTGGGCCGGTGACTCCGTCCTTCCCGCAGCGGCCGCGGCGCGCAGGGCACTTGGGTTAGTGGCGCGGCGGGCGGCTCGGACAGCCTAGCCGGACGCCCGCTCCCGCCGCCATGGTCATCAAAACGGACGAGTTGCCGGCGGCCGCCCCGGCCGACAGCACCCGGGAGCCCAGCTCGCAAGCCGGTGGCAAGGGGCGGCCGGGCGCGGCCGGTGAGCGGGGCGGGGGCCGGCGGGCAGCCGGGTGGGCGGCTGGACCGGGCCGAGCGGCCGGGCGGGTTCGGGGTTGCGCGGGGACCGCCGCCTTCCCTCCGCGCCAGGCCAGGTAGCATCTCGCTGGCCCCTCCACCGGGCGGCCCCCGCCCTGAAGGTCACCTTCACTGTCGCCCCCGGTTGCGGCCCCGGCTTCGCACGTGGGGTCCCGGGGAGGGCAGCAGTGGCGGGCACCGGCGGCGGTCACACGCGCCCTAGATCGTGGGGACACGTGCACGCACACGCGGTTTCGGGGTGTGCCGCCGCCGCCGCAGACATTGAATCGGCGGACCCACCCCCTCCGCGCCCGGGAATGGGGAGCCTTCTGGGCTAGGGTCACTGACACTTGCTTCGTCAGGCACTCCTCCGCGTCAGGATCCCAAGTATTCCCTGTGCTCAGGGCTGCAGCCCTGCCAATGAGGCTCAACTTGGGACTTACCAGGCTTGGTCTGAGGAGAGAGCGCGAGTTGGGTGTGTGTATTTTGAGGGGGCTTCTCTGGTTCATTCCCAGAGGCAAGGCTTTAACCCCAGGTCTTCAGGGTCTGATCTCTGCCCTGTTAGGTGTTGGCCTGGTTGGCAGACCTAGGGGTCTCCTTGTGTATGCGGGCAAAGCCAAACTCCTTGGCAGGAGGAGGTGTTTGTGCCAGAACTTGATCATTAACCCGTCTTATTGCGAAAAGTGGGTCAGCCCAGAGTTGCTGTTTTTAAGGCAAAGGTCGTCCGTGTGGAGTCCAGCTTCCAGCTCTTCCCCCTTGGGGGCTGTGTGGCAGTGGCTTTGGGAGTGGCTGCAGCTTTTCTCAGGTGGGGCCTGCTTCTGTCCATTTCTCCTGAGCCGCCTCTGTTTTTTCCATCATGTCTTAGAATCCAGCCTTAAGGGTGGAAGCCCCTTCCCAGCTCCTCAGTTGTCATCTCCAAATCTTCCTCAGAGCCCAGGGCTGGCCTGTGGTCCCTCTCTGCCCTGGGCGGCAGTGGGTGTGCAGAACTACTCCTGTCTCCCACGCTCCCCAGTCTGCTCAACAGGGCCATGTCATCTTCATCTCCCTTCCCAGCTACAGTGAGTCAGGAGGGGAGCAACGTTAGGTAGACTCTCTGACCCTGTACCTTGTCACAGCAGGGTTACCTTGTGATGGGGGGTAGGTACTGTGGCAGCTTTGCTAATTGCCTAGACAAGCCCAGGGTTTGAGCAGAACCACAAATGCTGGTGACTCCAACCTGCCAGGCTTTGCCCTGATGTGGCTCTGAATCAGTGGGGCAGGCTAGATAAGAGGAGGTTGGGCTGGCTGATTTTCCCTCTAGCAAAGAGACCTGAAGAGATGAAACGACTTGCCCAAGGTCACACGACGAATTAGCTGTTGGGGGGAGCATTCGGATTTCCGGCTCACAGCCAACGTGCCAAGGCTGTTCTGGCCTGCCCCAGAGGAAGCTGGGACAGGCATATTGGGATCATATGCTGAGAATGTGGGGGCTGAGGAAGGGAGAGTCTGTTGGAGGATTTCTCTGAGGGCCTGAGTGAAGCCCCTTCTCAGCTGTGTGCTGAGAGGCTCTGTCTGGGGCACCCTGGGCTGGGGGAAGGGCACAGCTGTTCATTTTGGGGAAACTGGGAGCATACCAGCAGGCTCCTTACATCTTTGGGAAGCTGGTGTAGATAGCTAGGACTCGAATTACAGCCAGCCTGAATCTACTTAAAGAAGGAGGGGACTTTATTGGAGTCCCTCAGCAGGCTCTTACTCAGGCTTCTGACCTCAGGATCCAGCTCTGGAAGGCTCTACAGTCCCTTGAGGAGGTGATTAAGGCCTTTTGTTGGGAGGAGCAAGGGTCAGTTACCTTCTTGGGAATAAAGCTGCTTTTAGGGGTTAAGAGAACAGGCAGGTTTTTCAAGTTAACAGTGGTGTGTCAAGTTCCTTCTGTCTAGGGGAGGGCTCCTTGGAGTTGAGGCCCAGAGTGGAGAAGGGGGCTGGCAGACTGCGGAGGGACTTAAGGGCTTAGGGGAGGTCCCTGACAGGATCCCAAAGCTCTTCTCTTGGGTATGTCTGAGGAGAGCAGCTCGAGGAACACTGGACTAACTCCACACCCTGCAGACCTGCTTCTGACCTGAGGGAACAGGAATGAGGCAAAAGAGGTGCCCACCTCCTTGGCGTCTTCCGTAGGCTGCCTGCTTGTCCCCACCCCTTTCCCTTGAAGCCGTGGGTTCCTGGGATAGGGTGATGTGTCTTCTGTGGCCTTGCTTCCTGCAGGAACCTCATCTGCTGAGGTCTTCGCTGGGGCGGGGCCTGGCCCTGGCACAGTCTACTGAGGGAGGCCATGCCAAGCTGGGGAAGGCACACAGAGGCCACGCCATATGGCCCAAGTTTCTTTTCTAAACTCCTTTCTGCTGCCCCTGGGGTCCCCGTGCTCCCAGGCCAGGGCAGGGGTACACTTTATCTCTTCACTCTGATGTGGCCAGTGAAGACTGAGGGTGTGTGTGTGCAGTGCTCTTTGGGCAGCCCCTCCCCATTCTGCAGAGAACCACCTTTTCCCTGAAGCCCAGACCCTCAGGGGTGGCCCCTGGGATATGAGAGGAGGGGTGCCGGCCCAGGGCTGTAGAGCTTGAGGAGGGAATCCTGTAGCCGAAGATAGACCTGCGTCCTGGGCGGAGGCCTGAGGCCTGGAGGGGGAAGGGAGGACTGTGTACCTGGTTGGTGCTGTAGCCTGGGTGAGTAGCACTCAGGACCATGGGCTTGAGCATCTGATGGGCCTGGTTTTTTCCTGACCTGGCTTTGCTTCCTGTTGCCTCTGCGACCTTGGGTAGCTTGCTTGCTTACTAGCTTTCTGGAGCCTCAGTTTCCTCAAGTGAGATGGGCTGGTTGAGCTGATTGAGGGACCTGCTGTGGGCTGGGCCTAGAGTGAGCAATGGCTGTGTGGTAACCAGAATGGAGGTGGCTGGCACCACCACTCAGGGGGTCATCTCCAGGCCGCTCTGTCCCACTCCCTTCTCCAGAAGGTTAGGGTGTGTTTGGGGAGAGGGTGGGATAAGAGGGGCTCTGCCTGGGCCTGGCCTTTTGTACCACACACACCAGGGTCAGTGTGTGTGAGCCAGAACTATCTGTGGGGGCTATGGAAAGGCTGAGGGTGTGCTGGGTGCTGGTGCCTCAGGGCTGCCTGGGATCAGACTGGACGTGGGGGGTGCGGGGGGTGGTGGCTGGAGCGAGCCTGGCTCCCCGCCCCCACCCTGGTTAGTATGGATGCCAGAACAGTCCTGACTGGGCCCTGGCAACAAGTTAGAGGCCCTGGGAAGGCGCCCTGGCGAGGCTGGGCATGTTCCTTCTCCACAGCCGAACGGCCTTCGGCCTCTTGTTGCCAGCTCTGTTTTCCCCGGGGGGGAGACTTGGTTTTCTCCTGGCAGCGCAGGGGCTGCTGGGAAGGGAAGATGGAGCCTGCCAGCTTCTTGGTAGAGCTGGAGGCCTGGGGCACGGGTGCAGTTGTCCTCTGGGAGACTGGGGGCCCATCCCCCTCCCACCAGAACCAGTGACTCTCAGGAAGGGGAGAGCTGCCAGATCACCTGCAGGGGGCAGCATGAGCCAGAGGTCCTGGCCAGTCACTTGACCCAGGAGGCAGGCAGGGTGCTCAGTGTGTGCGCCTGGTGGACAGGGGGCGGCCACCTCATGGCCTGGGCCCAGGTCTGTGCCAGTTGTTGCCGGCAGCTGGCTGAAGCGGTCCTGCGCACTCCCTCTGGGGTTGGGGGTGAGGAGAGGACCCCCTTGCTGGGCCCTGCCCCTGCCAGCCAGTCCCTGGGGCCCTTGATCCAGAGGGGCCCAGGTACCCCAAACGCAGGATTTTCCTGCCCCTCTAGCAGCTTCAGCAGCAGTGACCCCCTTTCTGGAGGGATCAGGAAATTGGGCCTGAGCACTGGTAGCAGCTTCACCTGGAGTCCTGGAGCCACCGGGGCCTCCTGGCCCACAACTGTCCTTCTGGCCGACCTTGAGCAGGATGCGAGGCAGGGGGAGTGTGCCCTTCCCAGGGCCGTCCCGGCAGGCCTGGCCCCAGTGAAACCCGAAGCCAGCCGGAGCTCCAGCCCTGGGCCGACCAGCTGCATGGGGGCAAGGGTAGTAGCAGAGACCAGACCAGGGGACACAGGCTTTGCCGGGCCTGAACTGGAGAGCTGGCTGCCTCGCTGCCATGGCGGTCCTGAGACTCCAGAGCCCAGGAGAGGGCAGCCGCCGACTGCACCAGGTGGGCTGTGGGGGCAGTGAGCCAGGTGGCTGGCCTCTTGTGGGGAGATCACTTGGTCTTAATCCAGTGATAGGGAGACCTTCAGGGTCCTTTGGAGGAAGGAGGAGGGGCAGGGCGGGCTGTCCTGGGTGAGAGGAGGCCCCTGGGAACCAGCCACATTCCTTTGAAATCTGATAGGGGCTTGAGTGCCCCCTGGGGCAGGAACCTGGTGCCGAGGTGCCTTCTGAGCAGGCTTCCTGGGCTGAGGAAGGGGGAGTTGGAGCTGTGGCTACTCTTGCCTTGTCTTCCCTGCCCTCCTCCCCGTCTTCCCTGGTCTGAACTCAGGGAGCACAGGCTACCTGTCTGGGTCTTTGACATCCCACTTTTGGGGTCTCAGACCTCAAAGCTACTGTTCCGTATTGGATGGGGTCCCCTTACTGCATCTCCCCTCATCCTGGGGGATGGCCAGCCAGCAAAGCCTTTCTCTTTCTCAAGGACTGTTGGGGGAAGTGCCTCCTTATATCTGCCATCCCTCTTGCTGTCTTTTGAAAGCTGACCAACCACCGCCCTTGTCCCCGCCCTCCTGTCCCTGTCTGCTTTGTCATAGAGTTGGCCAAGTTCTCCCTTTGGGGCCAGCTGCTCACTTTCTAGGGGCTTGGGGTCACCCTGCCTGGGGTTGTGGGCTCACTGGGAGGAGGGGTCCTTGTCGTTCTCCGGAGTTTCCGGTTTGGAGAGGTATACTGGGAGTAGGACAGGGGTGATGACAGTCATTGAAGGTCCACAGTGGCCAGGATTGAGGGCAGTGCAGCCACGTGGTGGTGTGGTCTCTTGATGGGGAATCTGGGGTCCACTCTTAACCTTGGGCAAGACTGAACTTTTCTGGGTCTCAGACGTCCTTATTTGGGGGAAGGAGGAGGGGACTATATCTGAGCTGCTGGAGGTCCTGTTTCTCACTGAGTGGAGGGGGCACCGAGACGAGGGAGTGGCTTCTCTCCACGTCCCCCTGGCGTGCCCTTGTGTGCTGGACTTATCTCCTTTCCTGAGGCCCCTGCTCCACGTTTCTGGGGGGTCTGGGTAGGGCCTACACAGCTCTGGGGAAATACACCTCATCCCCACTCCTAACAGCTAGGTGGGGAAGAGGAGGTGCGTTCTGGACGGGATAGGCTAGGGTCCAGAGCAGAGCTGGGCAAGCTGCCCTGTCTGGAAGTCCCAGATGAGCAAGGGGCCAGTTTAGCTGCCAGGTGGACCCTGGGTGGGAAGGCCCAGTGGATCCCCAAATGGGGATCTAGGCAGGCCTGTCTTTTGCTGGAGAGGCTCCTCTTGCTCCCCAGAGCAGGGAGGGGGTTCTCCTTTGTTTCCCTTGGTGCCTGGGCAGAAATGGAAGGTTTTGTCACCTGCTCCCCCGCCTCTCTCCACAGCGTGTGAGTTCAGTACTGTTCACAAATATTGGACTTAACTACACGTTTACAGTAATTAATTCATTACTTCAGTACCCTTTCTGTTGAGTGCGGGCAAGACAGAGGAGGAAGATAGAGCTGCTGGTGTGAACAGCCAGCCACCCAGAATGCAGTAGAACAAGTGCCCTGGGAGGTGGTAACCAAGTCTCTGGGGACAGTGAGGAGGCAGTAATTCTGCTGTCGGGTCATTTGGGCAGGCTTTAGAGAAGAGGGTTTATTTCACCCAGGCCTGTCTGGGTGAGTAGGAATTTGCCCCATGGAATGGTTTATCGGGGACAGCATAAACAAAAGCACAGGTGGAAGGGAAGACGTGTGGCCTGTTCTCAGGCTGCAGGTGGTTTGGTGTGGCCATACCGCCACAGGGAGAGCTGGCAGGAGCTGAGATGGCCTTCAGACTGGTGCCTGAGAATGTTGGCTTAAGAAGCTTGGCTCTGGTGAGCAGTGGGGAGTATTAGAAGGTTCTAAGTGGTGCTTTTGAAATAGGAGAAATGGCCTGCACCAGGGCCATGGCTGCAGAGGCTAGGTCCCGTGACCAATTTGGAGATTAGATAGGGTGACTAGATAGGAGTTGGGGGAGCATTCGCAGAGAAGGGGCTGGTTTGTGGAGGAAGATGAATTCCATGCTGACAAGATGAGTCTTTGATGATGCCTAAGGATGGCCGCGTATTGAAAAGCTTGAGCAAGGCCTGGATTGGCCATGTGAGCTGCAAGGCAGGAGGGCATTTGAAGCCATGGGAGAGGGTGAGATGAGAGTGAGCAGAGGCTGGGGCCCAGGGACACCTACGGCTCGGACTGCTAGAAGAGGATGGGGCTGGAGAGGGAGGAACAAGAGTATCAGCATCTGTCAGGGAAGAAGAGGAGGAAGTGAGCAGTGGGAGGGTGGCTGATGAGAACGCAGACACATTAAGGCCAGAGAAGACCCTGAGGTGTGGCCCTCAGGGTGGCACTGGTGACTCTAGGGAGAGTGGTTTGGATGGCATGCTCAGATGTAAGCTGGACTGGTGGACTGAGGAGTGGATGCAAGGGGGTGCCTGGGGTGTGGCATGGAGAAGGCCCTGGCCTGCAGGTGGCCAGGGCTAGGGGAAGTTGTTGCCCAGTGTGAGGTGAGACTGTGGAGTCTCGGGAGGACGTGGAGAAACCATTCTATAGGGCACGTGCGCAGCCTAGTGGGTGAAGCGGATGGCCCCATCTGACTAACTAGGGCCATCTGACTCAACTCCTTTCTTGTCACCTGCAGAGCTGCCGTCAGTCATGCTGTTGAATGGGGACTGTCCAGAGAGCCTGAAGAGGGAAGAGGGGGCCACTGAACCACCCCGGGAAAATGGGCTGGATGAGGCCGAGCCGGGAGAGGAGACCACTGGACAGGAAGTCATTGTCATTCAGGACACAGGCTTTTCTGTGAAGATCCTGGCCCCTGGGATTGAGCCTTTCTCCCTGCAGGTGAGATGGGGGAGGGGTGCTGGGGACCAGGGCCAGAGCCTGTTAGGGAGGATGAAGCCGGAAAGCCAAGCCTTGCCTTTGCTCGTCCTGTACCTATGTTATAGGCAGGAAATTGAGGGTCCTGTGCCTTGCCCAAGGTCATTCAGCTAGCGTGGTGGATGTGGGAGTCCAGGTTCAAGTCATTGCCCCATTGCTAGAGGACAGCTCCCAGCTGGGACTGCCACCCCTTTTTGGGGAAAGGTATGGTAGTGGCTGGGTGGTGTTGGGGTCCCAGGGCTCCTCAGTCTCTTGCTCTGTGCCCTCAGGTAAGTCACCTCTCTGGCTTTGGTTTTACCGTCTGCCTGAGAGAAAAGCCAACCCAGAGGTCTTGCAAACTGGTAACTCATTGGGGAACCAGGCAATGTGCTTTTATGTCTTTTGTACCCCGCAAGCTTGGGCCCCAGAGCATCCCTTCTTAGAAAGGGGAGGCCAGGGCCGGCCCCGTGGCTTGGTGGTTAAGTGAGCGCGCTCCACTGCTGGCGACCCGGGTTCGGATCCCGGGCTCGCACCGACGCGCTGCTTCTCTGGCCATGCTGAGGCCGCGTCCCACATACAGCAACTAGAAGGATGTGCAGCTATGACACACAACTATCTACTGGGGCTTTGGGGGAAAAAATAAATAAATAAATAAATAAAAAAAATCTTTGAAAGGGGAGGCCATTTGTCTTGGGGGCCTTGGCATTGGGCAAGGACGGAGGCAAGATTGCTAATTTCTTTTCCCTAATCTTATATCTCCTGCTCCTCTGCTCAGGGCTTGCTCTTGGTCTACAGGAATAGTAGACCTGAGGGTGACAGGGCCAGGCTCTGTCCTGCACACACACACACACAGGTGCAGATGGGCATGGTATTTATGAACAGGGCCTGGAATTTAATAGCCAAAAAGCGGGAAATTGAGTATTTAGGGCATTGATTCTAGGGACCCAGGTACTTTGGGCTGGGGAAAGTGGTTTGTCCTCACCAGGGTGGTCGGGGCCTTCTCCCTGGCAGGTGTCCCCCCAGGAGATGGTACAGGAAATCCACCAGGTACTCATGGATCGTGAAGACACATGTCACCGCACCTGCTTCTCACTGCACCTGGATGGCAACATGCTGGACCACTTCTCAGAGCTGCGCAGTGTGGAGGGGCTGCAGGAGGGCTCTGTGCTACGTGTGGTAGAAGGTTTGTCCGGCAGTCGGGTGGCCTGGCAAGGGAGGGCACATGGAGACAGGGACAGGCAGTACTCCATCCGTCCCAGCTGGTATCTTTGTGTCACAGATGAGCGCATGGAGGCTCAGAGCGGAATCGAACTTGTGGAGGCGGGATTGGAGCACAGGTCTGCTTCTCAGGCCATCACACACGCGCACCCTCCAACTTCGTGGGTTAAATATCAGGGTCGTGATTAACAAAAAAAAAAAAACAGACAGTACCAAGCAAGGGCTTGAAATCAGCCCAAATTGTATAGAGATAAACGTTAAATCTTCTAAGGAAACAAGTTTCACAGCTCTCTAATAGGGAAGTCAGGCCCGGTGTGGAGTAATCAGCTGGTGTGGTGAGGCTGGTTTGCTTGTAAAATAAAAGTTCCTGTGAACTTGAGTCCCCTGGGGAGAAGTGGCTCAGAGGTTCTGGGCACGTTAGCCTGTTAACAGCAAATGTGGAAAAAATGTAACCCAGCTGTGCCCAAACTTAACTTGATCACAAACCTCTCTCCTCCCCACAAAGAGCCCCCATTAAAATTTCACTAAACACATATTGGGGGACAGTGTTGTAGTTCGGGGTCCTGGTAAGTCCTCAGGCCAGCCCTGAGCGAGGGCTGTCCTGGGAGACACGATCAAGGCCACAGGGGCCCAGCAGCTCTGCACGCCTGCCCACTGTGCTGCCCATGGACAGAGCAGGGGGCTTTTGTGGCTCTCTGAGGCCTGTGTGCCCTTTGGCAGAAGGTTCTTTGCAATCAGAGATCCCTGCCCACACAGAGGCAGGTGTCTGTGGTGAAACCAGAACTCCAACTTAGGTGTTCATAATGGAATTTGTAAATGGAAGCCTAGAATTGAAAATCAAGACCACCCATGGTAGCGCTAGGGCCAACATCTCTATGCTGGGTAGGATGTTGCAGGTAACGCCCTCCCCCTCCCCCTCCCAACAGAGCCATACACGGTGCGTGAGGCCCGCATCCACGTGCGCCATGTCCGAGACCTGCTCAAGAGCCTGGACCCATCCGATGCCTTCAACGGGGTTGACTGCAACTCCTTGTCCTTCTTGAGTGTCTTTACCGATGGCGACCTGGGAGGTGCGGGAGGCGTTGGGGCCAGGGGTTGGGCAGAGGGGCTGGGAGCAAGTTGGCCAGAGGCTGACAAAGGGGCTGAGGGCCAGGCCTTCCCACCCAGAGAGGGTGGGGCTGGAGGCACCCAGACCGGGCCCATTTTAGGCTGAGAGATGGTTGGTTCCTGGGTGGCATTGTGCTGACCACCAGGCTCGGGTCCCTCAGACAGCGGGAAGCGGAAGAAGGGCTTGGAGATGGACCCCATCGACTGTACGCCACCCGAGTACATCCTTCCAGGGAGCCGGGAGCGGCCGTTGTGTCCCCTGCAGCCCCAGAACCGTGACTGGAAGGTGGGACTCCCAAAGCAGAGCCGAGAGGTCTCTGGTAGGGCGGGGGCCACCACACGGGGAGGCCTGGCCACTCATGCTTGGCCATTCCTGCAGCCACTGCAGTGCCTGAAAGTGCTCACCATGAGCGGCTGGAACCCCCCCCCTGGGAACCGTAAGATGCATGGGGACCTCATGTACCTGTTTGTGATCACGGCCGAGGACCGGCAAGTCAGCATCACAGCGTCCACACGGGGCTTTTACCTGAACCAGTGAGTCCCTGTGCGAGCCTGTTCCAGTCTGTGCACAGCCACTTGGGGTGCCCTCCGTGACCACCCTCTCCCTGTAGGTCCACAGCGTACCACTTCAACCCCAAGCCTGCCAGCCCTCGCTTCCTCAGCCATTCCCTGGTGGAGCTGCTCAACCAGATCAGCCCGACCTTCAAAAAAAACTTTGCCGTGCTGCAGAAGAAAAGGTAGTGCCTTTGCTCTGTCCCTGCCCCTTGTCTGCTGTACCACAAGGGGCTGGGGTGAACAGGCCAGCCTGCACTGCGGCACTTCTGCCCTAAGAAGCTCAGCCCCCAGCCCCTCAGCTCCTTTTAGGGAGCTGTCAGCCAGGCCCTGAGACAGCATCCGTAGGAGAGGCACCCATCTGCTTCTGTGGGATTCTCCAGGGATGGAGTCTCAGGACAAGGAGACACTGGAGCTGGTGGGGGCCCAGGGCAGGGCTCTGAGCTTGGTGGGCTGCCCCATCTCCCCTCCTCTGCCTGCCGCAGGGTCCAGCGCCACCCGTTCGAGAGGATCGCCACGCCGTTCCAGGTGTACAGCTGGACGGCCCCCCAGGCAGAGCATGCCATGGACTGCGTGCGCGCGGAGGATGCCTACACCTCGAGGCTGGGCTACGAGGAGCACATTCCCGGACAGGTGCCTGTGGCCCAGCCCTGCCTTCCCTGGGCACCTCCCTCCCCCACCCTTGGTGGGTGCCAGGCCGGGTTCTGTGTGCCTCCCTGGAGGCTCCATCTGCTTGTCTTGTTCACTTGGGAGCCTGTAGGACTGTCCATGGGGAGGTGGAGGAAGGGACTGACCAGAGTAGGTTGTGGGGCACAGGCTGAGCTGGTGTCTCCCTCCTTGGGCCCTTTGCAGACCCGGGACTGGAATGAGGAGCTGCAGACAACAAGGGAACTGCCCCGCAAGAACCTGCCCGAGCGGCTGCTGCGAGAGAGAGCCATATTCAAGGTGCCTGTAGCCCCTCCTGCCTGACTAGCAGCCTCTGGCCCACCTGCCACCTGCCAGCTGGTTTCTTGTGGACAGGAGGAAAGCTGGGATACCCTGCAGGGTGTTCTGTTGCCTTCTGCCTCCTGGCAGACCACCCCAGCTCCTTGTTCTGGCCTCTCTGGAACTTGGAGTCCATAGGCAAAGAAGGACCTGCCTCCAATGTGGGATGAGTGACAGGGTCCATTCCAGCCTTTCACCCTCCGCTGACCGCCATGGGGCCCTCACCTGGGGTCATGTGCCCTACTGTGATGTTATTAGTGCTTTTACTGAGGTAGAGAGATTAGGAAAAAATAGTGCTTTCAAAAAAAAATTAAATTTAAAATCTCCCATAATCTTACTGCCTGGAGATGATAATGGTAAAAATAAGATCTAAGTGTTCTGGATACTCACTTTGCCGGGGGCTGTGCCGGGTGCTCTGTAGGCATCATCTCTTGTAGTTTTCCAGACACCTTGTAAAGGTTGGTGCTTTTATTGTCACCATTTTATAGATGAGAAAACGGGTCTAGAGGTGACCTGTCCAAGTTCACCTGGCACATGATCGGCAGATCCCAAACCCGCTCCAGTCCTTCCGCTCTCTCAGTCACTGAGCTCTGTCGTCTGAATATGTGTTAAGTTTTTTCAAAAAATGGGTTTCTTGCCCTTTTCCAATTGTCAGGAAATGGAGGCTCGAGTCCCTCGACCCCCACAGTGGGCCTCTTGCCCCCACCATCTGGGTGAGCTTGGCCAGGGGGACAAAAGCTGAGGCTCTTGTGGTTGGAGCCTCTCACCCTTGCAACCCCCCCCCCCCCCCCAGGTGCACAGTGACTTTACTGCAGCAGCCACGCGCGGTGCCATGGCGGTCATCGATGGCAACGTGATGGCCATCAACCCCAGTGAGGAGACGAAGATGCAAATGTTCATCTGGAACAACATCTTCTTCAGCCTGGGCTTTGATGTCCGTGACCACTACAAGGACTTTGGCGGGGACGTGGCGGCCTACGTGGCACCCACCAACGACCTGAACGGCGTGCGCACATATAACGCAGTGGACGTGGAGGGGCTCTACACGCTGGGCACGGTGGTGGTGGATTACCGTGGCTACCGTGTTACGGCCCAGTCCATCATCCCCGGCATCCTGGAGCGGGACCAGGAGCAAAGCGTCATCTATGGCTCCATTGACTTTGGCAAGACAGTGGTGTCGCACCCGCGATACCTGGAGCTGCTGGAACGCACGAGCCGGCCCCTCAAGATCCTGCGGCACCGGGTGCTCAACGACCGCGACGAGGAAGTGGAGCTCTGCTCCTCCGTGGAGTGCAAGGGCATCATCGGCAACGATGGGCGCCACTACATCCTCGACCTGTTGCGCACCTTTCCCCCTGACCTCAACTTCCTGCCCGTGCCTGGTGAGGGGCTGCCTGAGGAGTGCACCCGTGCTGGCTTCCCCCGTGCCCACCGGCACAAGCTCTGCTGCCTGCGCCAGGAGCTGGTGGATGCCTTCGTGGAGCACAGGTAAGGAGCAAGGCCTGGGAGGCCGGGGTGGGCTGCACCCAGCCGGTAGGTGGTTCTGGGGCCTGATCCCTGACGGGAGGGGCTTTGGAAAGTGAAGAAGAGCTAGCTCTGGCTGCAGTCATTATAGCCCTAGCCACAGCCCCACCCACTCTGACATCAGGGTCCCCAACACAGACATCCAGAGCTTTAGTTTTGGTTGAAAACTAGTGAGCAGCTAGACCAGTGGCTCTCAACCAAAGCCATGCTGGTCCCTTAAGGAGCATGTGGAAATCTGCTAGGGTGAGTTTGAATGTCCCAGTGCCAGGGGCCAGGAGGAGGGGCAGGGGTGTTCCTGCTGCAGCCATTTAGTGCTTAGGTGTCAGCCACATCAGATGTCCCACACCACGAATAATTCTTCCTCTCAAAATGCCAGTGGGGTTCCTGTCACTCTTGAGAGCCCCGGCCTGCATGGTGAGCCACTCCCCCACCCATCCCCCAGCTGTCCTCTTCCTGTCTGGGAAGATCTCGGATTGTGCTATGCCCTGCTGCCACCTGCTAGAGTTGCTGGGCTGGCGCCTGCATGCATGCATTGACTCTTACACACTGGGCAGGACATGTCCCAGGGTGTCCAGCCCCAACCTTCCTTAACCCCAGCAGGCCGGAAGCCTGGGGCCTGTCTCTGCTCCCGACAGCCTGCAGGCAGCTGCCAGGCCAGCCGGGCTTCTAGATTCCCCTTTCCTATCCCCTGCTCTGCCCTATCTGCTGCACTTTAGGTACCTCCTCTTCATGAAGCTGGCTGCCCTGCAGCTGATGCAGCAGAAAGCCAGCAAATTGGAGAGTCCCACCTCGCTGGAAAACGGCGGTCTTCCCTCTCCGGAGTCCAAGCCTAAAGACCCTCCGGGACCGGAGGCGGGAAGTGAGGAGGAGGGCAGCAGTGCTAGTGGCCTGGCCAAGGTGAAGGAACTGGCGGAGACCATCGCCTCGGACGACGGGACAGGTGGGGCTGCTGTGGATGCCGGGGGAGCCCCAGGCCTGTCCTGGCAGTTCGTGCTTGCCAGGGTGGCTCATGACCCAGCCCCGAGAGAGGCAGGCAGACATTTCTTCAAGGAGATGGGGGAGGCTCGGGGCAGCCTGGCCCCACCAATGGTGGAGTGGGCTGCCTCCCACCAGGCCGTGTCTCCACAGCAGACCCTCGGAGCCGGGAGGTGATCCGCAACGCGTGCAAGGCAGTCGGCTCCATCAGCAGCACGGCCTTCGACGTTCGCTTCAACCCTGACATTTTCTCGCCAGGCAAGCGGTGGGACAGGGCAGGCACAGTGCCGTGGGGGTCATCTTGGGGCCCTGTCCATCCACCTGAGCACTGGCATCTTCCTCTGCTTCCCTTCTGCCTGGCTCAAGCCTCTGCTCTTCCTCCCGCAGGGGTTCGCTTCCCCGAGTCCTGCCAGGAGGAAGTTCGGGACCAGAAGCAGCTGCTGAAAGATGCTGCTGCCTTCCTGCTCTCCTGCCAGATCCCCGGCTTGGTGAGGGGGGGCCACGAGGGGGGAGGGCCTGCACGGAGGGTGCAGTTACAGGCCCTGGGGTCTCATCCATCTCCGACCTTGGAAGCTTGTGGAAGCTTCACAGGAGTGACTTCCTTAGAGTTGCTGACCTGCAAGGCAGGCGGGGCAGAGTGCTCATCCCTGTTGTACAAATGGGTCTGCTGACCCAGAGAGGCCGAGGGGAGGCATCAGGCGCAGGCTCTGCTCTACAGTGTCCTCCATGTGGGCTGGCAGCTGGGGGTCTGGTCCCCTGAGCCCCTGTGTGACAGGATGGCTGACAGAGGGGTCAGGGGGGCATCTGGGAGAAAAGGTGTGGGGGGGGCCCTGTCCTCTTCACCCTCACAAGCTTTATATGTAGGCCCTGTGGATGACAGGGTGCTTGCTGCCTCCTAAGGCAGCCTTGAGGTCAGTGGCACGCTTGTCTCAGATCTTTGAGGTGAGCCTGTTGTGCCCTAGACCCCTGCCCGGCCCCTGCCCAACTCCTCCAAGGCTCGGCACAGGGGTAGGGTGAAGCTGTGGCCCCCGAGTGGTCCCCTCTGCTCCTTCCTGCAAGGAGGAAGGAAGCTCCTCCACACAGGGGAGCCTGTGCTGCCTGCTGGGCTCTCTCAGTTCATCACCTCTGGGGCTGACTCATCCCTGTTTCCCCATCAAGTGGGCCTGACACTCCCAGGGTGACTGCTGTTCCTTTCCTGTGGCTTGTACAGAAGGCTGTGGTACAAGTTCTCACATCCTCGCTGCTGCTTTATCTCCTTCCCTCGTCCTGACTGGGAGCTGGGACCTTAGTCCCCTCCTTCCCAGGGCCTCAGCAGAGTGTGAGCTCCCCTGGGAAGACCCAGGGAGGAGGAGGCCGAGGACCTGGGCTGGGGAGCCTGACCTGTTGCAGCCCACAGGTGAAGGACTGTGCAGACCATGCGGTGCTGCCCATGGACGGGGCCACACTGGCTGAGGTGATGCGCCAGCGTGGCATCAACATGCGCTACCTGGGCAAGGTGCTGGACCTGGTGCTCCGGAGCCCGGCTCGAGACCAGCTGGACCACATCTATGTGAGTGGTGCTTAGGGTGGGCCATATGACAGTGGGGCCGAGACGGAGGCCTGGGGCCCGACCGACTTCGCTCTTTAAACCCTTGCAGAAAATTGGCATTGGAGAGCTCATCACCCGCTCTGCCAAGCACATCTTCAAGACATACTTACAGGTACCATGGCTCCCTCCCCAGCCCGGGTCATGCAGCCTATCGGGACGAGCCCTGGGCTGAGGCCTGAGGACCCTCATGACTGATCCAAACCTCCCTCGCAGGGAGTTGAGCTCTCAGGCCTCTCGGCTGCCATCAGCCACTTCCTAAACTGCTTCCTGAGCTCTTACCCCAACCCCGTGGCCCACCTGCCCGCCGACGAGCTGGTCTCCAAGAAGAGGAACAGGAGGAGGAGAAACCGGCCCCCAGGGGCGGCAGATAACACGGCCTGGGCTGTCATGACCCCCCAGGAGCTTTGGAAAAACATCTGCCAGGAGGCCAAGAACTACTTCGACTTCAGCCTCGAGTGGTGCGTGGGTAGCGTGGCAGGCACAGGGGTGCTGGGCCCCCACCAGCATCGAGGTCCTCTGACAGCATGGGGCAGTGGACGGGGAGAGGAGAAAGGAGGGAGCTGTGCGGGACTCGTTTTGGGAAGTGGGGATGGGAGCTATAAGTCCGAGTCTTGGCTGGAGGGCAAGAGTGGCCGGGAGGGGTGCCCGGGCCTGGTTCTCAGGTGAGGAGGCAGCCGTTGGGAAAGGGGCAGAGTGTGGGCTGCTTGGCCCACCTGCCGCTTCTCCCCAGTGAGACTGTGGACCAGGCTGTGGAGACATACGGCCTGCAGAAGATAACGCTGCTACGGGAGATCTCCCTGAAAACCGGAATCCAGGTGGGCACGGTTCATCGTCCCTCCTGTGCCCCAGTTCCTGCGGGGCCCCAGGGCCATGGCAGGAGGTGGCTTTCTCTTGACACAGGGTGGTGGGTTGGGAGGTGCTGGCCATTTGAGCCTGGGGCTGAGGCTGCCTGTGGATGTTGGGCTGTGTCCTCTAGATCCTGCTGAAGGAGTACAGCTTCGACAGCCGCCACAAACCCGCATTCACCGAGGAGGATGTGCTCAACATCTTCCCTGTGGTCAAGCACGTCAACCCGAAGGCCTCAGACGCCTTCCACTTCTTCCAGAGCGGGCAGGCCAAAGTACAGCAGGGTGCGTGGCCAGGTGCAGCTGGGGGGAGGGGGGTCCCCTCGCCCGGCCCTGACCTTGGTACCCTTGGGGGTGCCCTGCAGGCTTCCTGAAGGAGGGCTGCGAGCTCATCAATGAGGCCCTGAACCTGTTTAACAACGTGTACGGAGCCATGCATGTGGAGATCTGCGCCTGCTTGCGCCTCCTGGCCCGTCTCCACTATATTATGGGTGACTACGCCGAGGTGAGCCTTGAGCACCCTCTGGGCTGTGTCAGCAGAGGCCTTGGGGCCTGGCCTGGCATTGGGGGATGGCGAGTGAGGGGGCTGGGGTTGTGTTCCCTCCCTGGCGGCAACAGGAAGTGGGAGTCCAGGCCTGCGGAACTGGAGCCGTGTCTAAGGGGCCTAGGATGCTGCCCACTTCTGGATCCCCCAGGGAGGAGCAGACAGATACCAGGGAGACCTGGCGAGTCACTTTTTCTGCCTGGGCTTCCTCCCCGTGTCTCTGCCGTGGCTGTGGACAAAGTGGGAGTGATGGCAGGGACGTTGGGAAGGGTAAATTTTGAGACTCACGGCACCTGGTACCTCGTAAGTGCCATGTGAAGCTGCTAGGTGTGTCTCTGCTGTTGTCTTTACCCATCATGTGGCCTGGGGGTGCGAACCTGCCTTGTCAGCCCCCGAGGCTTCCAGAGGCTGTTTCCTGGGGCAGACGCACTGTAGGCTCCCCACTCACCCTTCACCCACAGCAACTCTTTCTTTTGTTTTCTTGTGTCGTCTTTTGTCTACAGAAGCCTATTTTTTTTAAAATACTTTATTTTTAGTGCAATCTTAGATTTGTGTATATGTATTTGCATCAACTTTGTTAAGGGGGAAAAAAGGCTTAAGACAAGTTTTTTTAAATAGTAGAACACTCTCAGAGTGGGGCATAGACTTCCATGGTCACAACAGCTGAATTTCGGTCCCTTCTCCGCTGGCTTTGTACAAAGTAAAAATAGGAGGTGCAGCCAGAGGGGATGAGGCTGAGCTGCTCACAGGCCAGGCAGAGTCGGTGTGGGGCAGTGCCCACCCTGGGATGATGACCCCCCTTCCTCCCAGGCCCTGAGTAACCAACAGAAGGCAGTGCTCATGAGCGAGCGAGTGATGGGCATTGAGCACCCCAACACCATCCAGGAATATGTGAGTAGCCATCGGGGGCGGGGTCTGGGCAGGTGGGCGGGGCCTCTGGCCGCCCTGGCCTGACGCAGCTGCCCCCGCAGATGCACCTGGCCCTGTACTGCTTTGCCAGCAGCCAGCTGTCCACGGCCCTGAACTTGCTGTACCGCGCCCGCTACCTCACACTGCTCGTGTTCGGGGAAGACCACCCGGAGATGGCACTGCTGGACGTGAGTGCTGGGGAGTGGCAGCGGGACTAGCCTCATCCCCAGGGGAGCGGGAGCTGACTAGGGCCCTCCCGACTGCCCCCAGAACAACATCGGGCTGGTGCTGCACGGAGTGATGGAGTGTGACCTGTCGCTGCGCTTCCTGGAGAATGCGCTGGCCGTCAGCACCAAGTACCACGGGCCCAAATCCCTCAAGGTGGCCCTCAGGTGAGGCTGTGCTGGGTTAGGGGGGTCCCCAGACCCAGATACCAAGGCCACAGGGACAGGGTTCCAGGAAGCACTTGGATTGAGGTGGGCACGGGATCCAGTGCTCTGTCTCTCACTGACTCTTAAGAAAATTTCTCTCAACTTTCATCTCTTCTCTGAGTCCTGGACTTGTTTGTGGGTAGGTTGCATAGCAGAACCCAGAGTAGTGTGCACATCCCCCCTTCAGGCCCCCACTTCCCTGGCCCACTCATGATCCTCCTTCACCCCCCACGCCATGTCTCCTTGCAGCCACCACCTTGTCGCCCGGGTCTATGAGAGCAAAGCCGAGTTCCGGTCAGCCCTGCAGCATGAGAAGGAAGGCTACACCATCTACAAGACCCAGGTGGGCCGCGGCAGGGACTGAGGGGGCGGAGCTGGGCCTGTGGGCTGTAGGCAGCCCTGATCTCTTCCTGCCTATGCTGCTTCTCCCCCCATAGCTGGGTGAGGACCACGAGAAGACCAAGGAGAGCTCCGAGTACCTCAAGTGCCTGACCCAGCAGGCCGTGGCCCTGCAGCGCACCATGAACGAGATCTACCGCAACGGCTCCACTGCCAACATCCCGCCCCTCAAGGTACATCCCCAGGTGGAGCTGGGTGGGCCACCCCAGCCTCCCCGCGCCCGCGTGTTGGCTCATCTTCCCTGCCACCCTCAGTTCACAGCCCCCAGCATGGCCAGTGTCTTGGAACAGCTCAATGTCATCAACGGCATCCTCTTCATTCCTCTCAGGTGAGGCCCCCTCCCCCACCTGCCCCCCTCCCCCACTTGGAAGTTGGCCTTTAGTTTTTTGTTTTTTATAATATATAATACGTTGACATGGCTTAAAATTGGAAAGTACAGCCAGTGGTGAAAAGTTCCTTGTGAATTTTGGAAATACTCCATGTGTAATTGAGCAAACATATAGCTGTAATCTTTTTTCCCTCTTTTTTTTTTTTGGCACAAAATGGTAGCAAGCCATGCACACAGGTATTTTTTTCCCTACACTTAATGTATCTTGGCAGCCTTTCCACATCAGTCCATAAAGAGTGGCTTCCTTTCTCTGGCCTCCTGCTATTCCGCTGTAGAGATGTGCCTTACAACCAGGCCCTGAGAGTTTCAGTGTGGCTCTTAAAAAAGTGCTGCCTTCGTGGGCCGCTGATCCTGTCTCCCTCCCCCCAGTGTGGGATGTGGGTTTGGGCAACCAGGGGTTAGGGCATTTGCCACTACCTGCTGGGAGGGCACCCTGCCCTACTCGTTTCCTGTGTGTGACCTGCTGTAGGAGAGACCACGCGGTGCAGCGGGTTGGAACTAGACGTAAAGGCTGAGTGGGAGCCTGGCCTTACCTGGAGGGTGTGTCGAGTGCACGAGTTCTTACTTTTTAGCACTTCTGGGCCTCTCTGCCTGGGGAGGGAAGCACTTGTTCCACACACATCTCTCACTGAACAAAGCACAGAGCCTGATCTTGTCCCAAATTTAAGCAAAGCCAGTAAGGTGACGGGGGACCAGTCCCACTCTGACACCCCCATCCTTCTACTCAGCCAAAAAGACTTGGAGAATCTGAAAGCCGAGGTGGCGCGGCGGCACCAGCTCCAGGAGGCCAGCAAAAACAGGGATAAAGCTGAGGAGCCCATGGCCACCGAGCCTGAGCCAGCGGGGGCCCCAGAGGACGTGGCCTCCCAGCCCCAGGCTGCCAAGGACCCTTCTTCCTCAAGCTTTCAGGGGTAGAGAGGGAGAGACAGACGGACAGTCAGCTGCCCCGTTACCCAGTGATCCAGACTCCAGGAGAAGGGGGGCATGCCCTGCAGATCAGGAGAGGAAACAAGTCCCTCTTCCACGTTTCCGACCCCAGCCCCACCCCCAGCATCCTCCTGGGACCCCGGCCTGGCCTGCCTGTCCCCCGAAAGATGTTTTTGCACTGGTTCAATGAATATACAATGCAGAGGCCTAATTGAAGACATGTGAATGGAGTGTGTGGGCATCAGTTCCCAGCTGGGGGGCAGGTGTCCCCTCAGGCCCCCCATCCTCGAGCAGTGCGTGCGAGTGTGTCCGTGCCCATGAATGTCTCGGCCCGTCCTTCCTAACTTGTACATAGCCCCGAGTCAGTTCTGAGTGGGTGACGTGCAGATGAGATTTCTCAGGTCATTTGTATGTTTGACATTATGGTTGCTGCTTTTGCTGCCACTACCCCTGGGTCCAACCTGGCTTAGAGTCCAGGTTTGAAGCCGAAAAGAGGGGAGCTTTCCTGTGTCCTGGGATGGGGAGCCAGAGCTCCGTGGCAGGGCTGGAGGGTTGGGGTGCACTTTAGCTTTGTGGCAAGGTGGGAGCTGCAGCAGCGGCTTTACTGATCCGGATGGGCCTGGCCTGGCTGTGCTGAGGGTGGGGGAAAGGGGTGGGTGGCCGCGGTGGTTCCCCAGACAGCCGTGTGCCCAGCAGTGGCCTGTCTGCCCTTGGGCCTCAGCAGGAGGCGCTGCCTCCCCACCCCCTGCACCCCAGTTGGGGTTCACCTTGGGGGCTACAGTCTGAATGTATCCTTCTCCCCATTTAACCTGAGCTGCCTAACGCACAGTGGGGGTGGGGAGAGTGAGGGGTAGGGGAACCAGGGCTGAATCATGGATCCTGGGGGGATGTTACCAGATACAGGAGTGATTGTCACTGTTTGTGGAGCCCAGCTCCCTACCTGGTCCTTGCTACACAAGCACCTTCTATAGGGAGTAGCTCTGGGAGTGGCAGGGTGGGGGCTGCGTGGAAGGTGATGGCCCCCACAGGCCCCAGCTACTCCCTCTCTTGCCTGCCTGTGCTGCTTCTCTGTGCCTGCTGTTGGAGCCCCAACGGGTAGGGGGAGATCGCCACCCTTGTGAGCTTGAGGGAGCTGTTCCCAGGAACGGGCCTCTGCCTGGGGGCTTTGCGGAGAGCTGCTTATGGGTATGGTCTGTCCAAATACCTTGTTTCAAAGGGAGTGGGTGTGAGCTAGCAAGCAATGCATCCCCACAGCTGATCAAGAACTTTTTCTTGTTTTTAAACCATCACGTCTTCATTTCACATTGGAATAAAGTGAGTTTTTGAAACCTGCTGTCCCAGTCTCTTGTGTGTTCTGTACCAGTCACATTTGATTGTGAGGTGCCAGAAATGGTACTAGTGAGGGTTTAAAGCACATGAATGTGTATAGATTAGGTCAAATTCAAGGTTATGCTTATAATGTCATTTAGGTGGGAGGAAAGAGCGTGGAGTCGCAGGCACCCAGCTTGGGTTTACCAGTTGGCCAGTCCCTAGGCCCGTGGGAGTGGCATGCAGGTGAATGCCACCTCTTGTTGTTCACAGGAGGAGAAAAGGCTGAGAATCCTCCTCTGTGGTACATCCTGGAGCGAAGGCCAGTAGGACTGAGGGGTGCTACAGTGTGGGGGCCCAGGCCCTGGACTGAACACCTAACTCCAGGTGTCTGCCTTTGTCCCTTTGGTTGAGTCAGGAGGATTGGGCAGCACCTCCCAAAGACTAGGAGTGCTAGGAGAATGGAGGGGTCTGAAGTCTGCCATCCTAGCATAGGTTTCAGGGCTAGCGAGGCTCTCTTGGAGATCTAGAGAGATGGAGGAAAGGGAGCCCACCTAGGTAGGCTTGAGGGGCAAGGCCTGTGAAGTGCGAGGGGCGGTGTGCAGAGGGCCTGTGTCTAAGAAGAGGGGAGGTCTCATTACCACTGGTGGCTGCTCAGCCATCCCTTTCCTGAGCAGGCAGGCCCTCAGCCTCATTATACTAGAATGCCTTTCTGAATACGTGGAGAGTTCTTTGTGTCTTTGACATTCCAAAAAAAAAAACTGCAACCCTAATGTCCGTTAGTTTTCCTGAACCAACTGGAAAAAAGACTTCCCTGACCTTGAGGGTTTCAGTTGCCATCGGTGCCTTTATGGTGCCTTGACGCATGCTCCCCACACGTTTGCTTTAGTCTTCATGCTTGTGTTCTGAACATGCCTTCCGATGGCCTTTAGCCTGTGAACACTGGTCACATGTTTCATAGCACTTCTAGAAATGGGGACATTATCTTGTAAAGCTGAGAATGGATCAGGTTTAATTACCTAATTGTACCTACTAGTCACCTGAGAGGCCGGGTTTTCATGGTTAATCTCTTAAGTGTATTAGTGTCGTCAGATATGGTTTGACAATCCAGATAACAAGGGGCTGTTGTTTTATAAAGGAAACGAGAGGCTCTGGATGTGACAGCCACCCTTTCTCTTTCCCTTGTCTTAGTTGACAGATTTCAGTTTTTTAAAAAGTGTGAATAGTGGTATACAGGAAGGGTCAGTGTGAGAACCAGCATGTGTTAGGTCATGGTCTGTGTGGATGGGCAACTCTTCCAGATGGAAATTAAGTCTAAGGTGTGTAAGCCACACCCACCTCTGTCTTCATGTTCCCCACGCTGGTCTTTTACTTGCCAGTCTTCTTCCAAATTTGAATTTCTTTCAACACGCCTATTACTTTTTTAAAGAACTATTATAACCAAATTAAACTTTTAAGGCTGTATCAATCATCTGTCTCCAACCCTGCCCTCAAACTGTTGTTGTTAACTATAAGTATTGAGAGAACTGTTAGACTTCATTGAGGAATTCCTACATATCCTGAAGCTGGGAATAAGGTATCCTGATGTGGCCCAAGTATTTCCTCACACCTACTTCCAGAGTCTAAACTACCAAATCAAATAAGGCATACATAATCAGGACACCTACAGAGGACAGGTGGCCCTCCTCACATGGAAAGTGAAATACCCTTATTAAGCAGGCAAAGCCATCAATAAAAAACCAGACACTGAAATGCAGACCATTCAGGACACAATTACCTTGAGAATAAAGTCATCTCATATAGAATGACTGAGGAGCCTTCCTGAGTTTCAAGTGTGGGTAACATAATTCTTGCTTATCCATTCCCGGCCTCCACCCCTTTTAATGGCCATCCCACAATGGAGTTAGCAATGGGTATAATGTGATAAGTGCTCAGGGATGGGATGAGGGCCTTTCCTGCATGACAAAGTTTAAAAATGGTTTAAAAGATGTCAGAAGGTCTTCCTTACACTTAAATAGCTAATAGGATGCTTTATACAGGTAGAACCGGAAAAAGTAAAGAGCAAATGCATTTGGGTTCAAGTCCCAGCTCACCCTTTAATTTAGCTTAATGCTGTTGGCATATGACCTCAAGTGAGCCCGTTTTCTTGTCCATAAAAATACACTAAAACCCACCAGCAGGGGGTGTATGTGACAATAAAGTTGTGTGTTGAGAATAAAGGTAAGTAAGTGTTGGCACCTAACAGGCTGTCAGTCAGTTCTTCTCCCTCCCCTAGTCCCTCCACCTCCACTTTTATTGAAAGAGGACTGGTGACCAAGCAGGAATGACCACACAAAATATTCACTATGGAACAAACTCCATGTGTGAAAGTGAGGGGGAAAGAGGAAAGAGAGCTGAGTTTAAACTCCAGCTGTGGGGCCCAGGCACCAGTAACTTTTGTCCAAATTTCTTCTTTGATGAGAAGTTAGTTGGATCCTTTAGATCAGTGGGTCTCCAACTTGAGCCTCCACTAGTTATCTGGATGGCAAATCTAAACTAGACATGCTGGGTCCCACCCTGTTTCAGATACAGTAGGTCTGAGCTGGAGCCCAAGAACTTGCTTTTTTTTTTTTTTTTTTTTTTGATTGAAATCAGCAGTCTTTGAAAGAAAAGTCTACCTTCTCATTCTAGAAAAACTCCCTGAGCTAACATCCAATGCCAATCCTCCTCTTTTTGCTGAGGAAGACTGGCCCTGGGCTAACATCCGTGCCCATCTTCCTCCACTTTATATGCGACAACGCCACCACAGCATGGCTCCACAAACGGTGCATCGGTGCGCGCCCGGGATCTGAACCTGTGAACCCTGGGCCGCCACAGCAGAGCGCGCTCACTTAACCGCTGCGCCACCGGGCCGGTACCAGAACTTGCATTTCTAATGAGTTCCCAGGTGCTGCTGCTGCTGCTGCTGCTGGCCCAGAGAACACTGGGAATCACTTTCCTAGAGGATTCTGGCATGTCAGCAGTTGAGAATTGTGAGTCTGCATGCAAGTCGAATTTCACCCAAGACGAAACAGGAACAGAGCTGCCACATCCAGGATGCAGCACCATTTCTCCACCGTGTCTTCCACTTGCCTACTCCTACTCCGCATCTCCATCAGGGACAGACGCAATTGTGAACCTTGGAAGGAAGCTTGATGCGTGTGACACCACAGTGAGTTACTCGGCAGGTTTTGAACAGCTAACTGTATTTCAGGACAGCGATACTAAGGCTAGAACTCTACCCATAGAAAGTGGTCAGACTCACCATCTGGATCTCAGCCTGGGAGAAAAAAGGAGCCCTGCAAGGAAATGGAAAAGCTGCAAATCGCAGGGAATTGTAACTTCAAGCAAATTACTTTTGGTGCTCTTCGCTCAGCTTTATTTGCGGTGAGAGGCTACTCCCAATAGGATCAGGAAAACAACTGGGCTGTAAGAAAAGAGCCACCACATCATTCAATACGTCCTTTAACATAGCCAACGTGTAAAACACAGAGAAAGCCTTACGACTTCCGGGGTAAGGGTGAAGACTCTTTTGGTACACTTCAACCTAAGACCACTGGGCAGATCAAGAGGCTCATTCATTAGAACAAAGTGGGTAGGAACCCTTATCTCTAGCCTCTGACCACAAGAGGGGTGGGTCTTTGTCAGGGAGTCTATAATTGGTCATTCCCAGCTGTAGAGTCACTGTCCAAAAGGGCTGCTGGAGGGGAGTCTGGAGCTGCATGACCTAGTGGGCTCTCTGTAAGCCCACTACCACCAAGAGCTCCTATGGCTGCTTCTCCTAGCTCCTTCCTCCAAATAGGTTGAAGGAAGCAGACAGCAAAGGCAGTGCTGGCACTGCCCCAAAGAAAAGCTTTCCATTAAGGCCCTGCCACCCTGTCACCAATTTGCATTTTACTCTATGACTGGTGCTGAACACAGTCCCACTAATAGGACTCAACTTGAAAGGTTTTAAATCTGTGCACAAGGAGACCAAAAAAAAAAAAAAAACCACATCTAGTTTTATAGGCATTTAATAGTTTACCAATTGGTACAATAAGATTTTTTAATATGCAGAAAACATGAATAAATTTTGTTTTACACAGTCTGAGAGCAACAAATCTTACTGTAAAACACAAGAGCAATATTATATACATTCCTTTACTGATTTTTTTAAATTGTGTCAATATCTTCTGTTAACTCTTACAATCTGGGGAACTGTCTTCTCCAATCACCACCTCTGCAACGTTCATATGAAATCAACGCTTGCCTTCATGTCAGTGTCAGATCAACTTCTAACTCGAAGATGTTGTTTGTTTCTGTCATCTTCAGAGTGAGCTTTAGGGATGCCTGAAGGATAGGCAGGACAAGAAAGCAGCTACTTACATGATATAGTGGAAAGACAAAAAGGCCAGTTCAGTCCAGTCGTGACTTGTAAATCCGGCTTGCCCTCCCCCCACCCCACTGGAAAAAAACCAAAACCTTTTTCACCAATTTTGTCTGTCGCTCCTCTACCAGGAGATTCTTCTTTGCATCATCTAGATTAACACATTGGACTTATATACAGCTGGACAGAAAGAGTAACCATTTTAAGTGCCTTTTCCTCCAAATTCAACAATTTTAACTTCAGTTGCTTAAGGATTATCAAGCCACCACTGTCAACAAAACAAATATCCTTTACTTTTAAATAGTTTTTTTTTAATTTATTAAAAATTTATTTAAAAAAAACTATTTAATGAGTGATATTACCTGGAAGTTCACATAGAAACAGAAAGAGGCCAAGAGGAGAGCAGGGCACTGACAGTAAGGAGACTGGGCTTGGTGATCTAGAGCCAAAGCTTCCAAAGACTACAGCGAGCGCTCCACAGCCCGGACAACTTGCTAACACTAGTGATTTTTAGAGCAGTGCTCTGGGCACACCATTGGTCACACCACACATAGACAAAACAGGACGGTCTTAGTCTCCTAAAGTGCAAGATGCCATGTCAAAAAGCAACTATTCTCCAAGCGATGTCTAAACCACAGTTTCT